TTGGCCATGGCCTTTGATCGTTTTGTGGCCATTTCTAAACCTCTTAGGTATGCCACCATTTTAACTGACCTGAAAATAGCCCAGATTGGAGTAGCAATTGTCAGCAGGGGCACACTAATCCAGGCTCCTTTGGTGGTACTTCTGAAAAGATTGTCCTTCTGTGGTAGCCATGTGCTCCATCACTCATACTGCTTTCACCCTGACCTGATAATGCTTTCTTGCACAGATACCAGGATCAACAGTGCAGTTGGTTTGTTTGCCCTGATACGCACTGCTGGGGTGGACTTCATTTTCTTCACCCTTTCATATGTTTTGATCATTAAGACTGTTCTCAGCATTGCGTCCCCAGAAGAAAGGAAGAAGGCTTTCAGCACATGTATCTCCCATATTGGGGCTGTGGCTGTATTCTATATCCCATTGCTTAGTCTGTCCTTTGTCCACAGATTTGGGAAGCGAGCTCCACCCTATGTACATACTCTAATTGCCAATGCCTACTTGCTAATCCCCCCTGTGATGAACCCCATTATTTACAGTGTGAAGACCAAACAGATACGCAGGGCTGTGATAAAAGTTCTCCTTTCCAGAGTGCCAATTAACTAGATGGGTGCTCCAAATTTTCAAGTCTTGGTCATTTTATAGTTACGTCAATTGACACTCTAAGAAGTTAAAAGATTATAGAACCCTGTTTGGGCTGAAAATTTCTGAAGAGATCAAGCAGTTTCTAGTAGAAGATGTTCACTGTTTCTAAAGAGTATCATCATGTTCTTGGGAAAACAATAAATATAATTCGACATTTATTTAAGATGAAAAATTTTCAATAACCTAGAACACCAACCATACAGTTTATTGTTCAAATGTGTTGTTAGTTTGTTTTAAATAGTGAAAATAGGCAAAATTTCTATTTGTTGTTTTACAATTTTCCTGTACAGGGATAAATACCACTATCTCTGCTCACAAATGAAAATAAAGATGTAATACCAATTGCAAATACCTGCATCTTAGCATCTAAATTTTTCCCAGAGAACTTGCGTTTTCCATGATTAGTGAATGGTTCCAAAAATCCTTTATTTTCCTACTTACTTCTGATCTCCTTGACCTCCCCATAAAGCAGGTAATAAACAATAAATGTTTAACTCCTTTGTCAGTAATCTAACTTTGTTTTAGGACAATTATGCTTAGGTTCCCACTGTTGTTCAGAAAACATCTCTGTCAAAATGTCTTAATTCAACTTTATTTTATATTTCTTCTTCTGAAGTACTAACATGATCCTTATGGCTTAATAAATATGTCCTGTGTTTGGCAAATATAATCTCTAAAGAAATTAATTTTCTTTGAAGTGTTAGGATAAACAGGAACCAAATACAGAAATAATTTAATTTGTTTGGATTTCTGATGCTGTCTTGCATCACTTTGTTCCAGGGAAATTGAAGTGGATTTGTCAGTGAGGCTGCAGAAAGGGAAACAGAAACCACAGCAGTTATTTTTACAGCAAGTATTTGATATGAACACTTAGATGAACACGTAACGAAGGAAGGGAAAAGGAAAAGGGGAACATAGGAATAATACAGAGATAGTAAGAGCAAGAAACATTTCCCATCCCTGTATCTGTGGAGATACTCCTTTCTGCGGTGGAATCAGTATAACTTTCATTTCTCCCACCTTGAGGCAAGTATCTTTCTGTGGTTTCATGACGTATCTAAATAGGTCCAGCATTTGAGTAGAAGGGCAGAATAAAAATATGAGTGCTGGAATTTGAATGAAATGCTCTAATTAACCTTAGGAGTTAGAAGCCCCTTAGATTGTTCTTGCCCTTGAATATTATTTTATGAATTTTCGAGCTGTAGTTTTATCCACCAATTCTATTGTATTTTACCTCAAACTGTGTATATATTTTCTTACTTTTTTTCATGTAAGATTTTGTATATATCTCAACAGGACTCATGAATTTATATTGTAAACACGTATTGTTTTTTTCCCCCAAGGGTTGAAATGGAAACTGGATATATGTGCTTACTCTGTATATTTCTTTTTCTTTTTTCAAGGCCATTTTATTGGGAGCTAATACAGATATCACATCATTCCGTAGTTCAATCACATCAAGCAGTATAACACAATTCCTACTACAGTTTCAAAACATTCTATTCCTTCTTGAACTCCTTGACATCAACTCCCCTTTAAGCTCCCCCACCCACTGCTGTATCCCCATCATCGACTTGCTGTCTCTGTAGGTTCATCAATCCTGGATTTCAAATACTGAAAACATAGAACACAAACTCAAGAAGGCTCTCTCCAATGACAGAATATATCAGAGACAAACCCTAAAACAAAAACAAACAAACAAACAAACAAACAAAACCTACAGAAAAGGCTCAAAGCCAGATCAGGCCCAATGTGTATCAGAGGGGGAATCAACTGACAAGTTTTTGTAATCATTTTATTGGGGGCTTGTACAGCTCACAATCCATTCATACATCTATTGTGTCAAGCACAAATTTACATATGTTGCTATCATCATTTTCAAAACATTTTCTTTCTACTTGAGCCCTTGGTATCAGCTTCTCGTTTTTTCCTTCCCTCCCCCACATTCCCTCCCTCATGAACACTTAATAATTTACAATTTTTTTCATGTCTTATACTGTCCAATGTCTCCCTTCACCCACTTTTCTGTTGTCCATCCCCCAGGAAGGGGGTTATATATACATCATTGTGATCAGTTCCCCTTTCTCCACGCACCTTCCCCTTCCCCTCCTGGAATCTCTATTCTCATTATTGGTCCTGAGGGGGTTATCTGTTCTGGATTCCCTGTGTTTCCAGCTCTTATCTGTACCCGTGTACTTGTTCTGGTTTAGCCAGATTTGTAAGGTAGAGTTGGGGTCATGATAATGGGGGTGGGGAGTGGGGAGGAAGCCTTAAAGAACTAGAGGCAAGTTGTATATTTCATAGGTGCTATACTGCACCCTGACTGGCTTATCTCTTCTTTGTCACCCTTCTGTCAGGGAATGTTCAATTGAACTGACAAAGTTTTAACTGTTCAAATCAGGTTTATCATCTTGAGCTCCTGTTTGGCATCCAGTTTATTCCCATCCCTCCATTATTATAGAGGGAAATCACGAGAGGCTTAATTCCTGTGTAGATCTCATAAATGTATCTTGGGTTTCCACTGTCATCCATACATTTCACAAACCAGAATCTCACAATTTAGTCTCTGATAGTATTCTATCCTTCAGCTTCTGATTATATGATTTCCAATCCTTGAGTCACTGATGTTGGTGTGCTTCTTCCATGTGGACTTAATTGACATCTTACTTAATGGCTTCTTATTTGGAAAGAAGTCTTTAAGACCCCAGATGCTATTTTATCTGATAACCGGCACCTCAAATTTCTTCACCACACTTTGCTGTAGAACTTATGTTTTCTGTACTCCCTTCCTGAAGTCGAGTATCGAGCATGGCCATGATGTAATAACTAATTGTTCTTAAATTGGAGCTAGGATTTAGTGCAATCCCTAAGCCCATAGCTGGATCTATGGTTGTTTTGTTGTTTTTGTTTTTGCCTTTGGCACCCTTTAGAGGCCTCCTTGTTAATTTATGGTACAGAGTCTTGTCAATCATCTCCCTGGAACATAAACATCTTCTGTTAAGATCATCATTGATTAGCCCCTGGTACTAAATTTTAAAACACTGTCAAGAGAGGGATATAGAGTCAATATAAGCTAACTACATATTACAATACCTGAATTATTCACTTTTACAGAATAAATCCTTTCATGGCTGGATGCTATTACACAAACAATGGGAGTTGATTGTCAGGGAAAATATACACTTATTTTTATTCACTGACAATGTTAGTTAGGTTTGCCAGAATAATATATATCTTAACACAGCGTATATGACATTGGTACATTAAGTCAATGATGTTCTGCGTACGGACAGTTCAATATTCTTGGTATAGCTGTCGTCTGCTTCTTCAAATACCATGAATATTTAGTCTTAAATTCTCAGGTTACAGGTGTGTTTGAGGTAGAGTCCAGTTCATCTAGTGGAGTTTCCCATTGGATCTCTCTGGTGCAGCCTTTAGAACATGTTGTGCACCTTGAAGATCCAGGATTGAATGTCCCAGTATCCTATGGCACTTGGCCTGATTTCCCAGGGCGTGTACAGAACTTGGGTCAATGTGGTTTATTTAGTGTATTTACCAGGGGCACTCCCACCTTGGGGTCCTTTACAAGTATTTTTAATCATTAGAAAACTGGGATTCTTAATCTTTATCAGTAAGTGCTTCAACGTCTCCTTACCTTCAGCAAGCCAGATTATGTCATCTGTATATTGTATTTTTCAATGTGTTCTTGGCTATTGTGAAGCGTACTGCCTTCTTGATCTCCTCTTCCATGGTCTTGTCCGATGTATATAGTAAACCAATAGGCTTCTGTTTGTTGATCTTGTACCCTTTCACTCTTCCGTATTCTTTTATCACTGTTAATATTCCCGTTGTGGAGCTTTTGGGATTTTCAATGTATAGAATCATGTCATCTGCAAATAGCGGTAGTTTCACCTCCTTCTATCCCAGATGGATAACTTTAACGTATTCCGCTGTCTTCTGTTGTTAGCTAGGACCTCCCTTTCTGTTCCCCTATTTAAGTGGGATTTTTTTCATCTTTTCTCCATTGACTATGATGTTGGCTGTTGGATTTTCATAGATAACTTGTATTAACTTGGAGAATTTCCCTTCCATTCCTATTTTCTTGAGTGACTTAATTCGGAATAGGTGTTGGATGTTGCCAAATGCTTTTTCTGCATCTATCAATATTATCATGTCATTCTTACCCTTTTTCTTATCAATGTGGTGAATAATATTGATGGATTTTCAGATGTTAAAACATCCCTGCATCCCTGGAATGAGTCCCACCTGATCACAATGGAAGATCTGTTTTATATACTTTGGTATTCTATTGGCCAATATTTTGTTAAGAATTTTTGCATCTATATTCACTAGAGATATCAGTCTTTAGTTCTCTCTTCCTGTAGGATCCTTGGCCTGTTTGGGTATAAAGTTATATTGGCTTCCTAAAATGGGTTTGGGAGTTTGCCACCTTTTTCTATGCTCTGAAATAATTTGTGGAGGATTGGTGACATGAATGCTTGGTAGAATTCTCCTGTGAAGCTGTCTAATCCAGAAGCTTTCTTCCTTGGTAGTTTTTGCTAACCATGTCTATTTCTTATTTTTCTATGGGTCTTTTAATGTTCTTGACCTCTATCTGGGATAATCTTGGGAGGGAATGGTTTTCCAAGTATTTGTCCACATCTTCCACATTGTTGAATTCATTAGAATACAGACTTTTATAGTACTTTGTGATTATCATTTTATTCTCATTGAGGTCTGTTGTGATTTCCCCTGTTCCATCCCTCATTTTTGGCTATTGATGTTTGATCCTTCCTTTCCTTGGTTAGGTTTGCCAGCAGTCTGTAGATGCTGTTGATACTTTCAAAGAACCGGCTTTTTGCTGCATTGATTTTTGCATTGTTCTCTTGTCTTCTCACTCGTTTAACTCTGTCCTGATTTTAATTATTTCTTTTCTTTAACTATTGGAGGGGTTGTTCTGT